TTATAGTGCAAGTAGGGCCAAGGAGAACGAAAACGCTCATTTCTCAAAAAGTAAAGGGAATCTAGCGGTCCCACTCGATCAAAAGGTGGAAAATATAGAAATCTAGTGAGCTAATAAGGTTCGGAAGGAATCTAATGCATATGTATATGGAAAGTGGTGCATTGGCCAGGTCGGTCAGTATGGGAACTTAGAGTGCAAATACCTGGGAGAACGGAACCGCTCAGATCTCGCATAATACACGGAATCTAGTGGTCTCACTCAAATATAAGGTAGGAAATATATTCATCTAGTGAACGTAAGGGTTTGAAAGGTAACTAACGCACATGTGTAGAGAAAATGGTGCATCGGCCAGTCTGGCCGGCATTTCGCACTCATAGTGCAGGTGGGGCCACGGAGAACGGAAACGCTCGTTTCTCAAAAAGTAGAGGGAATCTAACGGTCTGACTCGATCAGAAGGTGGGAAATATATAAATCAAGTCAGCTAAAAAGGTTTGAAATGTATTCTACGCACATGTATAGAGAAAATGGTGCATTGGCCAGGTCGGTCAGTATCGGAACTTAAAATGCAAATGCCAGGGAGAACGGAAGCGCTCAGATCTCGCATAGTACACGGAATCAAGTGGTCTCACTCAAATAGAAAGTAGGAAATATATACATCTAGTGAACGTAAGGGTTTGAAAGGTAACTAACGCACATGTGTAGAGAAAATTGTGCATCGGCCAGTCTGGCCGGCATTTCGCACTTATAGTGCAACTAGGGCCAAGGAGAACGAAAACGCTCATTTCTCAAAAAGTAGAGGGAATCTAGCGGTCTCACTCGATCAGAAGGTGGGAAATATTTAAATCTAGTGAGCTAATAAGGTTCGAAAGGAATCTAAAGCATATGTATATGGAAAATGGTGCATTGGCCAGGTCGGTCAGTATGGGAACTTAGAGTGCAAATGCCAGGGAGAACGGAAGCGCTCAGATCTCGCATAGTACACGGAATCTAGTGGTCTCACTCAAATAGAAGGTAGGAAATAAATTCATCTAGTGAACGTAAGGGTTTGAAAGGTAACTAACGCACATGTGTAGAGAAAATGGTGCATCGGCCAGTCTGGCCGGCATTTCGCACTTATAGTGCAAGTAGGGCCAAGTAGAACGGAAACGCCCATTTATCAAAAAGTAAAGGGAATCTAGCGGTCTCACTCGATCAGAAGGTGGGAAATATATAAATCTAGTGAGCTAATAAGGTTCGGAAGGAATCTAATGCATATGTATATGGAAAGTGGTGCGTTGGCCAGGTCGGTTAGTATGGGAACTTAGAGTGCAAATGCCTGGGAGAACGGAACCGCTCAGATCTCGCACAATACACGGAATCTAGTGGTCTCACTCAAATATAAGGTAGGAAATATATTCATCTAGTGAACGTAAGGGATTGAAAGGTAACTAACGCACATGTGTGGAGAAAATAGTGCATCGGCCAGTCTGGCCGGCATTTCGCACTCATAGTGCAGGTGGGGCCACGGAGAACGGAAACGCTCGTTTCTCAAAAAGTAGAAGGAATCTAACGGTCTCACTCAATCAGAAGGTGGGAAATATATAAATATAGTCAGCTAAAAAGGTTTGAAATGTATTCAACGCACATGTATAGAGAAAATGGTGCATTGGCCAGGTCGGTCAGTATCGGAACTTAAAATGCAAATGCCAGGGAGAACGGAAGCGCTCAGATCTCGCATAGTACACGGAATCAAGTGGTCTCACTCAAATAAAAAGTAGGAAATATATTCATCTAGTGAACGTAAGGGTTTGAAAGGTAACTAACGCACATGTGTAGAGAAAATTGTGCATCGGCCAGTCTTGAGAAAGTACGAACGAGAAGTGAATGACTATGAAAAAGAAGTGGGTACAAATAGGAAACCCTAATTGGGTTGTACCCCCTATGGGATACCCCACTATAGCCTACAGAAATAAGTAAGCTATATGTTCTGACACACCCCCATAGGCAAAGTGGGGGAGAACAAGGGGTCACAAGACCAGTCAAGCAAAGCAAAGCAAAGCTCAGGGTGGATCACAAAGTCACCACGCATTCCGAGCACAAGTTCAAAGGCCAGAAGGCCAGTTCACATGCAAGATCATATATAGAGATATAAAAGAGTCAAGCAAGCAAGAGCAAGAGTATATATAGGTGAAGGTACAAGCAAGGTCAAGAGCAGAGCAAGTGAGGCAAGACAGGCACAAGACCCAACTGCGTGCAACAACGCTGATGATCACAAGGCGCAAGTGCCTTGGTGAAGACATCAGCAGTGTTGGCCTCAGAGGCCACGTACGCAAGTCGCAACTGTCCACGCTGCTGTAGCTCACGAGCAAGAAAGTAGCGGAGAGCAATGTGCTTCGTTCTGTGCTCCAGTCGCTGCTCTCGACACAAGGCCAGCATGGCCTTGTTGTCTACGTACAGGACTGGAGGAGAACGAGGCGGCTCTCCAAGGTCGGTCAGCAGGTAGGTGAGCCAGCGTAACTCCTGTGCAGCCATAGCCCCAGCGTAGATCTCAGCCTCACAACTGGAGCCGAGAACAGAAGACGAGCGGGTAGCCCGCCACGAGACAGAGCCGGAACCAAGGCTGAAGGAGTAACCCTGTGACGACCGCTGCGTAGCCTGGTCGTCAGCCCAAGAAGCGTCTGCGTGCCCAGTGAGGACCACTGGACTGCGCCCTCCAAGCACTAGCCCCATGCCCGACGTACTGCACAAGTAGCGCAACACCCTCTTTGCTGCAGCCATGTGCTCTGGTCGGTGTCTCCCAGGAGCAACAAAGCGTGCAAGAATGCTAAGAGGGTATGCGAGGTCAGGTCGTGTGCAGGTCATCAGGTACATGAGGCAGCCAACAAGCTCTGCAAACGGGCCACTCGACTCTACGGACTCATCCGAAGGCAGAGCTGAGAGTGAGTGGCGAGTAGGCAGAGGAGTGGCCTGAGGCGAGGAGTACGTGAAGCCGAAGCGCTGAAGGACCTGCTGCACCATGTGTGACTGAGTCAGGGTAATGGTGCGGCGTGCTCTATCCCGGGTGATCTGCAAGCCAAGGTAGCTGCGCAGTTCACCCAGGTCAGTGCACGTGTGTCTCTTCTGCAGCTCAGACTTCACGTAGGCGAGTCCAGCAGTGTCAGCTGTGGCAAAGACCAAGTCGTCGACGTACACGAGGATGTAGAACGGCGGCAGAGAGGTGTCGGTGCGCAGAAACAGCGACGGGTCGGCAGTAGAAGGAGCAAACCCAAGTGCCGCGAGCGTAGTCCTCAGTGTGTCGTGCCACTCACGTGGCGCCTGGCGGAGACCGTAGACTGGACGCCGGAGACTCCACTGGGTACCAGGAGGGAAAGACCCAGTGAAGCCAGGTGGGCGGCGCAGCCAGATCTCCTCGTGCAGGCTGCCCTGCAAGAAAGCTGTGCTGAAGTCGAGAGAGTGCAGCTCATAGTCACGGTGAGCAGCAACGTGCAGCAGAACCCGAAGAGTGGTCATCTTCGGGGTGGGGGAGAAGGTCTGGAAGTAGTCAACCCCCTGCCGCTGACTGAAGCCACGAGCCACGTAGCGCGCCTTGAAGACAGGCGGAGAACCCGGCGGCCGCTTCACCCTGAAAATCCACATGCCACTGACGATGTTCGCCCCAGGAGGGGGTACAGCGTCAACGTAGGTGCCTGTGGACTTCCAGGAAGCCATCTCTGCATCCATAGCTGCCTGCCACTGAGAGGAGTAGGGACCCTCTATCGCCTCCGCGTAAGAGCGCGGAGTCGGGATGTCTGGTGCATCCGGGTCTCCCTCAGGGGCTAGCAGTACAGACGCGAGACGAGGTGAAGCGGCAGCCAGACACTGGAACTCCTCCTGCCTGTCCTCAAGGACGTCCGTGCCAAGGGCACACTCACCCCCGACGGACGGAGGACAGGCGGACTCAGACTCAGTGACAAGACGAGCAGCGTAGTCGAGACGACAGCGCGCAGCAAAGTCGACAAGCTCAGTGACAAGGGCAGACGCAGCAGACGACTCGAAGGAAGGGTCAGTGACAGCAGTAGCAAGGAGACGCGTGACAGTAGGACTGGCAGCACGAAGAGAGTCCGACTCCGGGTCGGCAAGAGCAGGAAGAGAGGAAGCAGGAGGAGAAGGCAAAGGGGCACGCAGAGGAGCAGTGGACGGACGCAGCGACATCCGGTGCGTGCCAGGGACAGGAGGAGGACGCTGACGCGAACCGCGACCACTAGCGCGCGCAGGACGAACAGGCGACGCAGGACGAGACGCAGGCTCACGACGCTCAGTAAGACCTCCAGTCGGACCAGCGTAGGGAGAAGGAGCAGGCAAAGGGGAGGCAGGCTGTAGCTGTGGCTGTGACTGGACAGGCTGCGGACCCTCTACGGGAGGAGGAGAAGGTGTAAGACCAAGAACCTGCTGAAGGAGCGGAACGAAGTAAGGTCGGGGCCGCGCGGCGACGCTAGAAACAGCTGGAACAGCGCCAGCAGCCCCGGCCGGAGCACCCACTCCAGCAGCACCTCCAGCAGCACCACCAGAGGCCCCAGAAGCAGCACCAGGAGTACCCGCAGGCGGACCGCCAGCGGCAGGCTCAGCGACAACACCCTCAGCAGTACCAGCTCCAGGAGAACTCTCAGACCCAGCAGCTCCAACACCCAAAGGACGAGCACCGTCGGGACGCGCGACAGCAGTACCCTCTGCAGCCGAAGAACCACCAGCACCAGCAGCACGCCTCCAGCGCCTGGCAAACCACTCACGCAGCTCCGGTGGGGAGAGTGGCTCCCGGCGAGACGAAGCACCCCCAGGCTCAGCACCCCCAGGCTCAGTACCCCCAGGCTCAGCACCCCCAGGCTCAGCACCCCCAGGCACAGCACCCCCAGGCTCAGCACCCCCAGGCTCAGCACCCCCAGGCTCAGCACCCCCAGGCTCAGCACCCCCAGGCTCAGCACCCCTAGGCTCAGCACCAGCAGCAGCACCAGAGTCCCCAGTGACCTCGACAGGCTCGACCGCGTCTACCTGGGACACACCTGAAGGGGCAGGACCCTGAGGGGGGAGGGGGACTACCGGGGGGGGGCCTGGGACCAAGAAGAGCGGGGGTGGGGGGAGGGACGGAGTGCGGTAGGGGAAGAGGCGGTAGTAGGGTACCGACTCGTCGAACGTGACGTCCTGGGAGGACAGAACACGTCGAGAGGTGGGGTGGTAGAACTGCCACCCAGGGGCGTCGGGGGGGAACCCCAGGAAGACGCAGGGAGCAGCGCGAGGGGACAGCTTGTCCGCAGACAAGTCGCGGACAAACGCCCGAGATCCCCAGACCCGGAACGCCGACGCATCGCCAACCTTCCCCGTCCACATCAAGACTGGGGACATCGCGGGTCGAGAGACCCGGGGGTGAAGGTTGATCTGATGCGCGGCGTACCTGACCGCAAACGGCCACAGAAAATGGGGGGCAGCCGCATGCATCATGGACGTACGAGCGACGTCCATGACCATGCCAATGCGGCGCTCAGCAATCCCATTCTGCTGTGGTGAGTCCGGAAGCGTGAAGGTCTGACGAATGCCTCGCGCACGACAGTAGGCACTCAGGAGGCCAGAGGAGAACTCTCCGCCTCTGTCCGAGTGCAGACGCAAAACAGGAAAGTCAGAGCCAAAGCTCCTCCGAAGCTGGAGACGAGCTGCGCGGATCCAAACGATCAACACCTCAGTGACCTCACCCTTGCTGCGCAAGGGGAAGACTGTGGTGTAACGCGAGTAGTCGTCAACCACCAGCAGGAAGTAGCGCTCCTGACCCTGTCCACAGACGCGGGCTGGGCCCCACACGTCCATGTGAAGCGTCTGCAACGGGGCCTCTGTCGGAGGAAACTGGGAGGAGTGAGGGGCAGCACGCTGGCGCCCCTCGACACAGGGGACACAGGCAGGGCCAGGGCCCGGAGGAAAGGGAGGTAGGGACCGGGGAAGACCAGACACAAGGACTCGCGAGGCCATGCCTCTGAGCCGAAGCAGAGAGGGGTGGCCAAGGCGGTGGTGCCAGAGGAGGGTCTCGTGAGACAGACGACGACACGAGCAGGGGGCAGACTCAGGACCGGACCTGGACGCTGCAGCAAACACCTGACCAGACGAAGGGACCCTACCAGACGTAGTACCTGGAGGAGAAGCAGTGGTCAGTGTGTACAGGCTCGACCCTGGCCGACGTGTGAACGTAGCCAGGTGGCGACCTGTATCCGCCTCAGTGCAGTGAGTCACCCGCTGACGAGCAGGGGTGAACTGGTGGACACCCGCATCCTGGAGGTCAGCACCACTCACCAAGTTCGTCGAGAACGAGGGGAGGTAGAGACCAGTCAGGGTGCCAGAGGGGGCCGCCGGACACGGGAGGACAGTGGAGAAGCGAGACAGGACAGGCCCCCCAGAGGGGTCAGCTAGGGACACCGCAACCGGCCGACTCAGTGGCGTGAGAGTGGTGCGGTCCCGAAAGAAGGAGCGAGACGCTCCAGAGTCAAGGGTGAAGGTGTGAGAGGCCGAAGCCGACACAGTACCTGAGAGGGCAGACTCACCAGCACCTGAGAGCACAGACGCACTGGCACCTAGAGCAGCAGCCTCACTAGTACCTGACGCGGCAGTACCAATGCCCGGGTCGGGCGGGAAACACCGGTAACAGTCATCCTCATCACTACCAGTCACAGCATACATAGCAGAGAGAATAGCATCAAAGTCAAGATCATAAATGGCTACACCAGCCCTAGACAGTTCCCCCCAGCGGGGGATCTCAGCGGCCTCCGGAAACTGCTGACGCCAGGCGTCGGTCAGGCGGCCAAAGCAGCGGCGCGCTGTGTGGGTGCCTCCACACCTCTCCCCCGCACGGTCGCCGGAGCGAAGAACGTAGGGGCAGGGACCAAACGCACCACCACGCTGACGCTGCAAGTACCACTCACGGAGCTGCTGAGGGGCGGGGACGGTGCGAGACCGCTGCTGCTGCTGCTGCTGCTGCTGCTGCTGCTGGCGCTGACCACCCCCAGAGCTGCTCCGCTGGGACGAGCCACTCCGACCCCCGCCGCCTCCGCCACTCCCGCCTCCACCGCCACTCCCACCTCCACCGCCACCCCCGTCTCCACCGCCACCGCCCCCACCGGTACCCTCGCCCCCGCCTCCTCCGCTGCCGCCTCCGCCGCCACCTCCGCCTCCACCTCCTCCACCGGTACCCCCACTCCCGCCACCACCTCCACCGCCACCCCCACTCCCCCCGCCACCCCCACCTCCTCCGCCACTGCCTCCTCTAGATCCACCCGCTCCCTTGCCCCCCTTGCCCTTGCCAGAGCGGCGTCTGCCGCTGGGGGCAGACGCCGCACCGACCGACTCAAAACCAGCGAGGTCGGCCGTAGCAGCAGAGGCGACAGAGGGCAGCAGGGGGGAAGGAGAACACCCCTCAAAGATGGGGGTGCGAGGGTCACCCCTAGAGGCCCCTACAGCGACTATACTCTTCTCAGCCGCTAGCAGGGACTCCTCAAGGAGGTCGACAGTGAGGGTGGTGGGACAGACAGCGAGAAACTGGTCCCTAACGACACGAAGGGACTCAGGAAGACGGGTGACGAGAAAGTAGAGAGTGATATACATGGGAGGAGGGTTTGCGGCGCGGAACTCAGCAGGAAGGGCAGCGCGGTAGCGAGCGTCACTAGTGCGGAGGTGGGTAACGAGGTCAGCGACAGTGGGAAAGGAAGCGAGGTCAGGGAAGAGAAACGGTAGCATGAGGCGGCTAAGGGTAGCGGAGGAAGGAGAGGAGTAGCGTGCAACTACAGCGTCGTACAAGGCCTGAGCGGTCTTGCACTGACTAAAGTGGGCACGCTCAGAGGAAGGGAGGTGGCGACGCACAGCAAGACGTGCAGCAGCATCGCGGGTCGCCCACTTGGAGCGAACGGCAGAGTCAGCATCAGCAGGCGGGGCAGGGACAGCTCCAGAGACAAAGTCAAAGAGAGAGACCTCATCTATCGCATCACACAGTAAGTACAGCTGCAGGTCTTCAATCCAGACGGCAAAGTCAATGGCCCTCCCCTCAGCGTCAAAAGTAAGAACATTGGGGGTGGCCATGGCAGCAGCTGAAAGTCTCACCGGGCTGGAAGAGTCGGGTAGGTCAGCAGCAGAGGAACACAGCCAGGGACAGCAGCACGGCTCCTCAGGTGGCTCGAGTGGCTCAGGCGGCTCGGGCGGCTCGGGCGGCTCGGGCGGCTCGCGCGGCTCGGGTGGCGTAGGGGCTGACGGGCGGCGCGGGCTGCTGGGGCTGCTCACGTGCAGTACGGCGGGCTGCAGCAGGGCCGGTGGTGGGCTGTAGCAGGGCCGGTGGCGGGCTGTAGCAGGGCCGGTGGCGGGCTGCAGCAGGGGCCGGTGGCGGCTGTAGCAGGGCCGGTGGCGGGCTGTAGCAGGGCCGGCGGCGGGCTGTAGTAGGGGCCGGTGGCGGCTGTAGCAGGGGCGGTGGCGGGCTATAGCAGGGGCCGGTGCGGGCTGTAGTGGGGCCGACGAGGGGCCGAAGTGGGGCCTAGGCGGGCCGGCGGGCTGTAGGCGGGGCCGACGCGGCGGGCTGTAGCAGGGGCCGGTGGCGGGCCTAAGCGGGGCCAGCGCGGGGCCGACAGGGCGTAGGTGGGGCCGACGCGGGGCCGAAGAGGGGCCTAAGCGGGGCCGACGGAGCCTACGCGGGGCCGACACGGGGCCGAGACGGGGCCTGGGCGGGGCCTACGCGGGGCCGACGAGGTGTACGCGGGGCCGACGAGGTGTACGCGGGGCCGACGAGGTGTACGCGGGGCCGACGAGGTGTACGCGGGGCCGACGAGGTGTACGCGGGGTCGACGAGGTGTACGCGGGGTCGACGAGGGGTACGCGGGGCCGACGAGGTGTACGCGGGGCCGACGAGGTGTACGCGGGGCCGACGAGGTGTACGCGGGGTCGACGAGGGGTACGCGGGGCCGACGAGGGGTACGCGGGGCCTACGCGGGGCCGACGAGGGGTACGCGGGGCCTACGCGGGGCCTACGTGGGGCCGACGAGGGGTACGCGGGGCCTACGCGGGGCCGACGAGGGGTACGCGGGGCCGACGAGGGGTACGCGGGGCCTACGCGGGGCCGACGAGGGGTACGCGGGGCCGACGAGGGGCCTAAGCAGGGGCCGACGAGGGGCCTAAGCGGGGCCGACGAGGGGCCTAAGCGGGGCCGACGAGGGGCCTAAGCGGGGGGCCGACGAGGGGCCTAAGCGGGGGGCCGACGAGGGGCCTAAGCGGGAGCACGACGGGAGGGGCGACTCGGAGGGTCGCTAAAAAAAATGCGCGCCTCGGGGCGCGCTTCGGTGGGCCCTAGGAACAGGCCCTAGGAAGGGACCTGCTCTGATTCCATGAGAAAGTACGAACGAGAAGTGAATGACTATGAAAAAGAAGTGGGTACAAATAGGAAACCCTAATTGGGTTGTACCCCCTATGGGATACCCCACTATAGCCTACAGAAATAAGTAAGCTATATGTTCTGACAAGTCTCGCCGGCATTTCGCACTTATAGTGCAACTAGGGCCAAGGAGAACGGAAACGCTCATTTCTTAAAAAGTAGAGGGAATCTAGCGGTCTCACTCGATCAGAAGGTGGGAAATATATAAATCTAGTGAGCTAAAAAGGTTCGAAAGGAATCTAATGCATATGTATCTGGAAAATGGTGCATTGGCCAGGTCGGTCAGTATGGGAACTTAGAGTGCAAATGTCAGGGAGAACGGAAGCGCTCAGATCTCGCATAGTACACGGAATATAGTGGTCTCACTCAAATAGAAGGTAGGAAATATATTCATCTAGTGAACGTAAGGGTTTGAAAGGTAACTAACGCACATGTGTAGAGAAAATGGTGCATCGGCCAGTCTGGCCGGCATTTCGCACTTATATTGCAAGTAGGGCCAAGGAGAACGGAAACGCTCATTTCTTAAAAAGTAGAGGGAATCTAGCGGTCTTATTCGATCAGAAGGTGGGAAATATATAAATCTAGTGAGCTAATAAGGTTCGAAAGGAATCTAATGCATATGTATATGGAAAATGGTGCATTGGCCAGGTCGGTCAGTATGGGAACTTAGAGTGCAAATGCCAGGGAGAACGGAAGCGCTCAGATCTCGCATAGTACACGGAATCTCGTGGTCTCACTCAAATAGAAGGTAGGAAATAAATTTATCTAGTGAATGTAAGGGTTTGAAAGGTAACTAATGGACATGTGTAGAGAAAATGGTGCATCGGCCAGTCTGGCCGGCATTTCGCACTTATAGTGCAAGTAGGGCCAAGGAGAACAGAAACGCTCATTTCTCAAAAAGTAAAGCGAATCTAGCGGTCTCACTCGATCAGAAGGTGGGAAATATATAAATCTAGTGAGCTAATAAGGTTCGGAAGGAATCTAAGGCATATGTATATGGAAGGTGGTGCATTGGCCAGGTCGGTCAGTATGGGAACTTAGAGTGCAAATGCCTGGGAGAACGGAAGCGCTCAGATCTCGCATAGTACACGGAATCTAGTGGTCTCACTCAAATATAAGGTAGGAAATAAATTCATCTAGTGAACGTAAGGGTTTGAAAGGTAACTAACGCACATGTGTAGAGAAAATGGTGCATCGGCGAGTCTGGCCGGCATTTTGCACTTATAGTGCAGGTGGGGCCAGGGAGAACGGAAACGCCCATTTCTCAAAAAGTAAAGGGAATCTAGCGGTCTCACTCAATCAGAACGTGGGAAATATATAAATCTAGTGAACTAATAAGGTTTGGAAGGAATCTAATGCATATGTATATGGAAAGTGGTGCATTGGCCAGGTCGGTCAGTATGGGAACTTAGAGTGCAAATGCCTGGAAGAACGGAACCGCTGAGATCTCGCATAATAGAAGGTAGGAAATAAATTCGTGTAGTGAAGGTAAGGGTTTGAAAGGTAACTAACGCACATGTGTAGAGAAAATGGTGCATCGGCCAGTCTGGCCGGCATTTCGCACTCATAGTGCAGGTGGGGCCAGGGAGAACGGAAACGCTCGTTTCTCAAAAAGTAGAGGGAATCTAACGGTCTCACTCGATCAAAAGGTGGGAAATATATAAATCTAGTCAGCTAAAAAGGTTTGAAATGTATTCAACGCACATGTATAGAGAAAATGGTGCATTGGCCAGGTCGGTCAGTATCGGAACTTAAAATGCAAATGCCACGGAGAACGGAAGCGCTCAGATCTGGCATAGTACGCGGAATCTAGTGGTCTCACTCAAATAGAAGGTAGGAAATAAATTCATCTAGTGAACGTAAGGGTTTGAAAGGTAACTAACGCACATGTGTAGAGAAAATGGTGCATCGGCCAGTCTGGCCGGCATTTTGCACTCATAGTGCAGGTGGGGCCAGGGAGAACGGAAACGCTCGTTTCTCAAAAAGTAGAGGGAATCTAACGGTCTCACTCTATCAGACGGTGGGAAATATCTAAATCTAGTCAGCTAAAAAGGTTTGAAATGTATTCAACGCAAATGTATAGAGAAAATGGTGCATTGGCCAGGTCGGTCAGTATGGGAACTTAGAGTGCAAATGCCAGGGAGACAGAAGCGCTTAGATCTAATATATTCATCTAGTGAACGTAAGGGTTTGAAAGGTAACTAACGCACATGTGTAGATAAAATTGTGCATCGGCCAGTCTGGCCGGCATTTCGCACTTATAGTGCAACTAGGGCCAAGGAGAACGGAAACGCTCATTTCTCAAAAAGTAGAGGGAATCTAGCAGTCTCACTCGATCAGAAGGTGGGAAATATATAAATATAGTGAGCTAATAAGGTTCGAAAGGAATCTAATGCATATGTATATGGAAAATGGTGCATTGGCCAGGTCGGTCAGTATGGGAACTTAGAGTGCAAATGCCATGGAGAACGGAAGCGCTCAGATCTCGCATAGTACACGGAATCTAGTTGTCTCACTCAAATAGAAGGTAGGAAATAAATTCATCTAGTGAACGTAAGGGTTTGAAAGGTAACTAACGCACATGTGTAGAGAAAATGGTGCATCGGCCAGTCTGGCCGGCATTTCGCACTCATAGTGCAGGTGGGGCCAGGAAGAACGGAAACGCTAATTTCTCAAAAAATAGAGGGAATCTAACGGTCTCACTCCATCAGAAGGTGGGAAATATATAAATCTAGTCAGCTAAAAAGGTTTGAAATGTTTTCAACGCACATGTATAGAGAAAATGGTGCATTGGCCAGGTCGGTCAGTATCGGAACTTAAAATGCAAATGCCAGGGAGAACGGAAGCGCTCAGATCTCGCATAGTACACGGAATCAAGTGGTCTCACTCAAATAGAAAGTAGGAAATATATTCATCTGGTGAACGTAAGGGTTTGAAAGGTAACTAACGCACATGTGTAGAGAAAATGGTGCATCGGCCAGTCTAGCCGGTATTTCGCACTCATAATGCAGGTGGGGCCAGGGAGAACGGAAACGCTCGTTTCTCAAAAAGTAGAGGGAATCTAACGGTCTCACTCAATCAGAAGGTGGGAAATATATAAATCTAGTCAGCTAAAAAGGTTTGAAATGTATTCAACGCAAATGTATAGAGAAAATGGTGCATTGGCCAGGTCGGTCAGTATGGGAACTTAGAGTGCAAATGCCAGGGAGAACGGAAGCGCTTAGATCTCGCATAGTACACGGAATCTAGTTGTCTCTCTCAAATAGAAGGAAGGAAATAAATTCATCTAGTGAACGAAAGGGTTTGAAAGGTAACTAACGCACATGTGTAGAGAAAATAGTGCATCGGCCAGTCTGGCCGGCATTTCGCACTTATAGTGCAAGTAGGGCCAAGGAGAACGGAAACGCTCATTTCTCAAAAAGTAAAGGGAATCTAGCGGTCTCACTCGATCAGAAGGTGGGAAATATATAAATCTAGTGAGCTAATAAGGTTCGAAAGGAATCTAATGCATATGTATATGGAAAATGGTGCATTGGCCAGGTCGGTCAATATGGGAACTTAGAGTGCAAATGCCAGGGAGAACGGAAGCGCTCAGATCTCGCATAATACATGGAATCTAGTGGTCTCACTCAAATATAAGGTAGGAAATATATTCATCTAGTGA